AAAAAAAAAAAAAGGAAAAGAAAAACACAGAATTTTTTCTTAGTACCTGGCCAATTTCAAAAGCATTTTGTTTCTCTTTGGCATCTACTGACTGACCAATCCAAACAAACACTTCTTCATGAGTGTCAAGTATCAAAATATCCTCAGTCAAGAGATCATCTTGAGTAAAGTTATAAACTTCCTCAACCTGCATGATAGAACATAAAAATATAGAAGCTGCTAAATAAACAGTGATATACGAAATTTTAATTGCATAACAAGTCTAGACTTACCTCAAACCTTCCTGGGGGGATCCACGTAGAAACACATATATAAAATAGTTAGAATACTAATAAAGTTTTACAAAACTAAAAAAATAAAAAATAAAAATAAAGAAAAACTCATATCAGTTTACAGAAACACTTAACACCTTAGAGAGAAAAAATTAAACTAACGTGGCATAACTACGTTCATAAGTAAGAAATGCTACCTCTATTGAATGAGAATGTGAACAGGTGGGGATCCCTAACAACCTCATTGGTGACCTTTTTGCTTGTATAATTCTGTTTCCCTCCAAGTGCAAACCAAAAGGAAGAGCTCTCTGTTCCTTCTTTAGCATGTTTCAGAGTTACTCCTGGCTGAATTTGTAAGAAGATTCTTAGAAAATTTGATCTAAATGTATGAAGCCCAAACAGTTTATAAAATAAAAAGGGACCAAATCAAGACAAAGCAGTGCCATATACAAGGTCCAAAACTCCTGCTTAATACTAAGATTAGCATTTTCAGGAGAACAAAATATTATCCAATTATTATTTGAATTTTTATTTGCAATTTATCAGAAGATATATTGGCTGCCTCTGTCTGGCAGAATGCTAGAAGTTTGGGCTGAATGGAATAAAACTGCAGTTTAAGTTTTGCGAGCAGCCAATTTTGTAAAAAGCCAATGGTTTTGGTTCATTCCAATGTCCCTCCTCCAAAACCCTGCTTCAGTGAGACCTTAACTACTTATTTAAAAGAAAAATAACCAACATGCTCATACATCCAAAAAACCAGTAACCATCCAAAATTTTGTACTAAATTGAAAAGTTAACAGTAAAACAGTCAGAAAAGCTAAAACACCATACATGAAAATAAATATCAGTATTATAATTGAAATAAGACATAGGCTTCAACTTTTAAAATTTCTACATTCCTTTTTTCTTCAATACAAGGCCAACTAAGAAATGGTTTAGCAATTGACTGTAACAATATTGAAAAGCACTACTCAGGTTAATGAAACTTCCTCATGTTATAAAGTTTTTAGGACCATGCATCAGGGAGAATATAACACACAGTAAAGCCCAAAACTATATAAAATTCTACAAAGAGTTTACCTTCAAAAATTCAGCAACTTTTGTAGCGATCTGCTGCTGCTCGTAACTGCTTTGATTTCCAAGCCAAAGGAACATTGAAGAGCCAGATTGCAGAAGAAAACACTCTGAAGAGTTCAATGATGTTGCTACCTACACATGAAAATTGTGGACATAGATGGATTATAGCTACTCTATTCTAGATTACTGAAAGCAAGATTAGAATTATGTGTCACAGATAATCTTTACTACTCACTTGATGTCAATTACAAGTACCTTGCTCTTTAACTTCTTTGTTTTCTTTTCTATATGCAATGGTGTGGGCACATAAAAATTAGTAAAATAAAATAGATAATATCAAAATTTTAGCTCTCTTCCCTGCCTTGTAATATGCCCACTTAGCAACATCTTATTCAATCCTAAAGTATTCATATTTCCTTCTCATACATTAAACACAATTCATTCACATTCTCTTGGACTTATGCCTGCGTCTAACATTCTAAATCAATCTCCCTTGATGGAGAAACCATAAAAATCTTTTGCACTAAGAGACTGTTTTAGTCACGCATCTTTGATTGGTTCTACCTTCACTATTTGGGTAGTCCTAGTACTACAAATCATGAAATAAATTAATCTTCTACAAATTTTCAGGATCCCAAGTAGCAAACCCTTTTGATAGCACTGTAGTGATTTCTGAGATCTTAAAAATTGCCTTCTCTATAATTCTTGATACCATTTTTCTTGTTTCAGAAACTAACCGTACCATATGCCAGAAGAAAGTTGGACTACTATACACATTCCATTTATCTGCTCCTTTTTTCAATATTCTTTCATCTTTTGCTTAAGAAGCAATCATTTCTTCAGAAAACTACAAAATTTTGACTTGTACTTGAAGCAAATTAATAAATGGATGGGTACATATTCATTCATATGTACTACTTGCACACTAGGAGCTATTTCAGAAGGGAAAAGGAATTTTATTTTGTAAGATTTGCACCAAATGCACAGTTAAAGAGAAAAAAAGGGAAAATCAAAAGAACTCTTTTTGGCCAAAAATCAACAGAACTGGCTATTTGTACTAAGCTGATCACAAAGCAATAGGATCAAGATCAAATTTAACAAGGCTCTTCCATTCAGAAATTATAACAAAAATTTTAAATTAAAATGAAGATTTTAAATTTAACATCTACCTAGGGTAGTTATTTAGGCAAACCAATGACCATTTAGATTAGGGTCTCAAACCAGTTACATGCATTTTTTATTTTATGTTGATAAAAGAGAAGATTTATAGAGACCAAATGACCCTTGTATAAAAGATAAGACAAAAAATCAATTGGCACATACTGGATCAACTTGCAATGCTTTATCGTTATGAGCTAATGTTCCTGAAATCCGAATGAGGGCAACACAATCCGTTGCATAAGTTTCATCCATCAAACCTTTATCTGCTATGGTCGTCTTGTAACCAGAGCTCAAGCCACCCTGTGAAGGAATTCAATTATACAACATTGCGTGGATCTCCCTGAGTGAGTAGTATTGAATTTCAGCATACAAGACTGACACACTTTATTGTTGAAATAAGTACCTTAAAGACCACCATAGGTTGAAAGAGAGCAATGAATTGTGGTGGTTCTTTACCATCAAATATGCGACCCTGCAAAAAATAATCGTTATATACAAGGTGCTAAATATCTGAGAACTCAACTCAGCCAAAGATAACAAGATACCAGAACAGGCCTCCCCTTTAGGGTGTTGGACATTATGTTAGCCAACTGAGCAGCCATCTTTTGATCCTCCTGAATTGAAGTAAAATAAAAAAAAATAAAAAATAAAAAAAAAAGGAAGAGAAAGTTTTCAGCTGGCAACATGGTACAGAAAATTCAAAGCAAGTCAAATATACATGGATGGAGTTACAAACAGGAAACATGTACTATGAAAAGGATATACAACTGTAAAGAAGACAGCAAATTAACACTTCACATGATGCTATAGTGAAATGAATGATGAATCACAAACTTACTGATCATATGAGATAAGCATTAAAATCTAAATGGTATACACATCTATTCTGAAAATTGAACAATCATGAATAAAAATTGAAGCATGGAATGCACCTTAAAGGAAAGAAAATGACATGCATATGTTGTATTGACAGATGTGGAACTGAAAATCTATACCTTACCCATGTTATACCCAAAAAAAAAAAAGGGGGAAGAAGAAGAAGAGAAAGAAAGAAGGAAAGAAAATCTATAACTATTACCTAAATGTTTTAAAGACATTAAGTTTAGGCCTATGGCTATGGTGGAAAATCAACAATAGGATCTTCAACTGTTCATTAGATAAGTTATTACTAAAAATTGCTGAATTGATTATACCAAAACAGGAAAGTGAAGATAAATAAAATTCTGAGTGTTGACATAAGAAAAATGACAGTGTGGTAGTGTATGTGAAAATTTGGATTAAAGGTCTTTCAATAGGGGTGACAGAAAGAGCAATTCAAGTTGAGGCCATAAAGAAAGATACATGAATTAACATTACATATGGTAAGATATATTACACTTATTAAAAAATGAAAAGGAAATCAAATAAGCAGCTCTAGGAAAAATCCAGACTGTCTTCTAGATTATGATATACATACAGCTATGAAATCAGTTAAACTCAATATAAACCAAAAGCAAATCTTTATTTCAAACCTAACCACAAGGATGCAAATTACCTCAATGCTATCCTTTCCAATCCAATAGCACAAAAAGTGATCTTCTTTCCTATCACTTGAGTGGTAGGTATAGAGCACAATGTAGCAATCTCCACTATAAAATTTACCAATATCCTCTTTAGGCAGTGGGCTCTTGGCACCATCATCAATGCGCCATACCTGAAAACAAGCAATTAAAAAAACACTGATAATATGAACATGATATGCCTTGTAAATTAATTCCCTGAAACCAAGCATGAAAGCTAACTATTAACCAGACCTCAATTTTTCCACCTCCTTCAAGCAAAGGTGGTACTTCCTCATTTACAGGGATACTCTTGCTCATGCTTTTGACACCAGCCCCTTGCTGCTTCAGCAAAGCTAGCAGCAAGTAAAATACCATATTTAATGACATTAATCAGGAAATATACCAGTTTCATTCATAACTTGGTAAAGAACCTCCACCTGCTACTTTTCCTCTTCCCTCCTCAGCACCAGAAGTTGCAGACCCTGCTGGCCATGAATCAAAGTTGGACTTGAATGCACGTGTCTCATAACCTTGGATAACACGGGTTATATGTGTTGATTTTGGTCTATTCTGGCTAGCAACAAATTCCTGAAGATAAAAATTGAGATGAGATATCTTTGTCAATACATGAAGAAATGAATGCCATGCATCTTTTTCTACCTCAGCAGCTTGACTGGCAGCTTTTCTCTCCTCCACCTGTGTTCCCCGGCCAACCCAAACAAATACCTCAGCACCACAGTCCAGTAGATAGCATTTACTGTTTTCCAACATGCCTTTAGATAATTCCCCTTCTACTATCTGCAGCTCCCCATTAGATATGCTGCAGGAACCAGTGACTATAATTTAGCACTTAGCGGTAACAGATCCATGAAGAATAAATGATAGATGCGTGAACACTTAGACAAAAACATTAAAACATCTGACTTCAGAAGCAAAAGAACTGGAATTAACAAGCATTCCAATCAAGAATCTAATTCATGCAAACTGATCCTTGGATAGAAGCTAAAGCATCAAAACAAGCATCATGGTGTATATCTACATAACTTAGTTTTATTCCTTGACATAACAATAGTGAGTGGTCAGACCAATCTCATTGGTCTTCTCCTTTTTCGACCCTCTAACTTTATTACACATGCATGTAAGGAGCAGAATCCTCTCTGACAAGGTTACAATCAATACTAAAGTGAATTACTTTTAAGTTAATTTTATCAACACAAAATAGAAAGAAATTAGTTCTATAGTCTAGCATGATTTTACATGTCCTTTTACATGTCCTTGTTTCCCCACATGGAGATACAGCAGATTGAAATACCTATAAAGTGTAGCCGGAGTTCTCTCTGGAACAATGTCATCTTCATTGGCAACCTTCTTCGCAATTGGAGCAAAACCACCAAAGAGGACCCAGAACTCACCAGATTCCGATTCAGTATCTAGCTTCCCATCATCTGGCAGGGGGTTTACCATGCACCCAAATAAAATTGAGGATGGAGAAATTAGGAACTAGAGATAACAAATATAAAAAATATTAAAATTATACACTTACTGCTTTTTGAGAAGTTAAAATTTGGAAAGATAGAAATAAAATCCTGGTGCTAACTTCTTACCAACAATAGCAACATCACACTTTCCTTCATGATATGTTTCTTTTAGAAACTGAATTACTTCCAAAGCCTTTGCCCTTTCCTGAATATTAGAGTTCACACCATTGAACTGATAAATCTTATTCTTGGTGTCTAGTATAAACACATCATCATGATTTAGCGAAGACCGGGCAAAAGGAACCTGCAAGCAAGATTGGGAACAGAATATGTTTTATTTGACTGATCCAAATTATTTTATACAAACAGAACTTCATTATGAATGCTACAACCTTTTTCTTTCAACCAGGGTCAATAAACTCATCTAAAAAAAAAACCCAATACCTGCTTCAACCTAACAACCCGCTTTCCTTTACAGATGTACAACTGGGTTTCAAACTCTTCCACTTCAGGTTTTTTAAATCCAGATGCAACACCACCCTCCAACGGCATAATACAAGGCTTGAAGTATGACAAGAACTTATCAGATTCATGGCCTTGAAGTTCCCTGTGCTGGACAGCCCGCCCTCCAAGAGCTGCATCAAGTTCCACAGTTTTAATAGCAGCCGTGCCAGCTTCATCCTGCAGAAATAACATAATTACATGTGAATTTAGTTCATTACAAGGCAAGTTCAAATCCTGAAAAGAAACCAAGTAAATAAATCCAAAAGAACATACCTGACTTGTATCTTTTCCAATCCAAAAGTGTATGTCATAGAGATAAGAGCCTCCCTTGCCAGGTGATGTCTACAATAAACAAAACAAAGAAAGCAAATAAAGATTAAAAAAATAAAAAAAAGCATGGTTTTTCCCTTAGAATAAGGTACCATTAAAATAAAAAAATTTTATGTGTTATTGTTCATATTGGTCACCCTCCAAAAGATTTGCAGGACTTGCCTATATATTAGATCCCTAAGACCTGTGCCTATTAGCATCAAAATGTCATTAGTTAAATATTATAAATAACTAACTAAATTATAAAATAGCAAAAATTTTGATAAATAAAAGTTAAAATAATTGAAAATACATGAATAACTGAAATATTAACTCTGATGGATCTAAAACTCTAATAAGCTAAATCAAGAAAATAAGACTCATAGATATAGGTGAACAAAACAGTTATATTTTCCATTAATATTTTTTTTTTTTCTTGATAACTTTTTTTTTTTTTTTTTTTTTTTGAGTATTGATTCACACAATTTTGGAAGAAATAATTTTCAGATTCTGTAATAAATTTTTCCTTAGCGTTTATGCCTATGCATGCTTGTTCAGATGGAACCGTGCACAACTTCGACAACTACATGAACATCAGAGCCGTCGACATGCTGCCAGCCATACAAGCTGATTCAGTCAATGCTGTTTTCACCCAGGAACTTGGAGTAGTTATTGGTGAAACGCAGTTGGAGGACTTTTTATCCCAAATTTCTTGATCTATGCTTGTTCTTTGACCAGCTTGAAACTCACATATACAAGAGATTTGCAAACAATCAGTTGTCATATGTCCATGTACGTTTTATATTTAAGAGTTGCTAATTCTGTGTTTATGCACTCCCTGGGAGAAACGTTTTTGGTTAAATACATTAATTTGAAGAAAAATGAGTCTTCTTTGCACATTATGTAACTAAAGGCACAAAGATTTGACAGTGTTCACTGTATTCTTGTGATGGATTGAGAATTCGTGGAGTTTGAAGTGGATTTGGCACTAATATAAAAAACTTCCACAACTTTATGGCAGGAGTTGGAATCTATGTTCTCCCTCCCCCCACAGGTTTGGATACAAGGCATACAAAATGCAGTAATGTACACATACCTGAGGTCCTCGTGGGCATTGGTTACATGAAATGTCTATATGTGTCCTAGTCCCAGAACAAAAACAAAAATATACTCAAGAAAGAAAGACGCACAACTCAAGGGTATTCAAATCATAGAGTACTCCCAAGTGCAAACCTTTGGTGGTTATATGCACACTTTGAAACTTCAAAAAGTTATTTTGGACCCATAAAAAATAACAGGTGGGTTGTGTGTACATGTTTTTGCAAGTAAACTGCAATTTTTCTTTTTCTGTTGACCTTAAAAATAATAAATAAATAAAACCCTTATCATTTTCATTTCTTCGTAATTTGCAGAAAAATTCAGATCTGTACATAAATCTTTGTCTTTTCAATAATTGTCAACATAAATCATATAGGACTATCTCTCCCATGATTATAATGTCAAGCATGAGCCCAGTAACTAATGCTGATGATTGATGGGCTGTCTATGCAAATTAATGCCCTACTTATCAAAACTGCAACAAAGTGATTGTGGTAGTTGCTTGAACAAAAAGGAGTTGAAGGCAAAGAGAAAGACCTCCAAACTTGATTCAAACTTCATCTTTGCTGTCTAAAAGCATGCCATTGCGAAAATTACTTGAAACCACTGATGAATAAGCCAGAAAAGGGAAGATGAAGGCAACTCCAGAGATGAGATAACTAGACTCAAAGTTCATCCTCGCTGTCTGAAAGCAAACAATCTTGTATTTGGTCCCTGATTTAAGGAAAAAATGGAAAAGAAACAAAGTCAAGATTTAAATAGGAGAATAGCTAATCGCAGTTCTGCAAGACAACCATAATCATGCAAACAAGAGTTTTGCAAATTTAGCCACACTATGGACATGTAATTGTTATTTGTGGAGTTCAGGAACTGGATCAGCCTTCATCGAGAATGCTCTACAACTATGATAAGGTATTTTGGGCTAACAAATCTTACAATTTAGAAAATTACTGCAATGATGTTAAGAAGTTTTGGCTAGCAAAAATGTAGTTTCTCACCTCAGTGAACTGACATTACCAATGCTGCCATATCCTACTCTTGCAACCATTGGCTGAGGAAGAAGTGACAGCAAGTGCTCTACTGAGGAGGAGTCTTTGGGTAATATCTGAAACCGGCAACTTGAACAACAAGAAGCACTAAAAGTATGAGAATTTTGGAAACTCTCAGGATTCTTCAGATTTGAAGAGTCCGATTTCTTGAGGGGGCTATTGCAAATAGGACAGAATGATTCTGAAGATATAGATTCATTAGGCTTCAAATCGAGTCTCTTTTGACGCCTTCGGGTTGCCAAAGGAACTCGACTGTCCTTGATTTCTGGAATTCTGTTGAAATGAAATGGAATGAGCTTTCCAGCTGTACGTACAATTGTACATTCTCGTGAGGGATTTTCTTCCTGGAAAAGGAAAAAGATTGATTAGGGCTGATTCTCTCCCCTGAGACTTTTAAGAAGTAACAAACAAGATCCAGATAATTACATGTAACTAAAATAAATAAACAGGTTACCCTACTTCAAACACTACTGAATTTGAATATAGGATAGTAAGGTGGGACCTCAGCCCATATCCAATCAAGAAAATCCTTAACCAGGTTAAAAGTTCTCTTCTCTGGGTTACACTCTATGGCCCAAAGGTCAGAGGGCAAAGATAGCAGCAAACTGCATAATATCCACACAGATTTCTCCATCCCTGATATAGAAATTCCAAACTCCGGTATATACCTGCAATAGTTTAACAAATGATGACACAAGGCCATTGATACCAGAACCAGAATCCTTAAATAGCTCCACAATCTTTAGACTGCCCTGCCAAGATGACAACTTACATCAAAAACATGATTGATTTATATTTAACTAAAGGAAAAATAGCATAAGGATGCAGTCTTATTAGAAAAAAAGTTAAGAACAAAAACAAATTCTGATGAAGATTAGAGGTAATTTCACCAACCCATCAAGGTGACAAAGAATGTTGAGCTCTTGTGCAAGACAATCACGAAGTGGAAGCACAATTGGAACCTTCCATCTACAATCGACATATTGAATATCTGCTGGTAAGGAATAGCCTTCACCCTGTAAACAGCATGATATTAAGTTATGAACAATAACAGCAGAATTTAAAAGGCATTAGATACCAGCTACATGTCAAGGTTAACAGTAGAAAAGGGTTTTATGAACTGCCACTCCTGGAATACTTATGTCAGTCCAAGCTTCAACATTGTCTTTCTATTAACCAGAAAGTATATAATTGACTAAATTTACTTCATCAGAACACATTATTGGTGCTGAAGGTTTTTGTTGTTTTAGATACAATATGTTTACCTCTATCTATAATATACATGCTGCATGAGTTTGATAAAATCTCAGTGATAATTTAGTAACTAGGAAAAGCAAAAATGATTTATTTATTTAGAAAAGATAATTCATTTCCAGAGTTAAAAATCACCCTGAACCTTCCCCTTGCTTTCTGTTTTGATTTCTGGAATGGCAGGATGGGTTTTTGTGATAAAGACAAGAGCTAAGAGGGACTATCTTGCAAAACCATTTTGATTCACTAATTAATGTCTAACATGATAGATCATACAGCTTATCCAATTAAAGGCCATGCAAAGACTGACCTTGACAGTGGCTGAAATGATATGACAAGCAATCCTGGATGTGCATGTTCCTAACAAAATTCTGTTGTACCCATTATCAGAGGCAACCTGCAAATGAAACATTCAGCTTGAATAACTTTCCTATTGACTATCATCTGCTCCCAAGCCAAGCTTAACTTCTAAGGACAAACCTTTTGCAAGGACAACATTCGTAAATGTATTAGAAGATCTTCTTTCCCAGTAGCATCGCTGACAGTATCTAATAACTTTTCCAATCTGATTTTACAATCAATGGAATCTGAAGAGCAAATATTTTGAATTGGAACAACATATAATTCTTTAGCTGGTGGGGCTGCATTTGAAACAATCAACCTGATCTCCTCAATTGCATTTTCAACTTCTTGACAAGGAACTGGAATAACAGCACTTTCATCAATAAATGCAACTCCCACACGAAATACTGGTAATGATCTATCTTTACTTGCATCATAATTTTTCTGCGCTTTCTGTTGCATCTCATGCACAAATTGCAGGGCCACCCTAAATCAACAAAGAGAAGTTCTTGCTTTCAAATTCATCCCAATGCCACATGGATAGAGAATTGAGAATTTTGGAAAACCACATAAAAGAGCCACAAACATAATTTAAAATAAAATAAAGATTTTTAAATCACCCTTTCTAAGAAAAGGGTGTTCTTGCTCACTAAGAGAGAATCTTAAATTCATAAAATTTAAATCCTTTATACTTCTCTACATTTCTTAATACCCAGATGAATCAGCAATAGCAATTTCATTCAAAACACAAAACCCAAGTAAGAAAAAACAAAAAGGCTCGTTTCTTTAAACTGCTAAAGAGACAAAAACCTGGATGAAGCGCCACCGGAGAAAGCAACAAGGACCTTATCAGAAGGGGTGATCATGGCGTTAGAACTAACAGCGTGCTTGAACTTCCCATACAGGTTGCCCCTAAAGCAATCCCCACAAAACCTCCCATCATCACCGATGCCACCACAAATGGACACATTCGTCTTGCACTTCATACACAGATTCTGGTGACTTTTACTGCCGTTCACTCCTCTGCTTATCAAATCCTGCGTTTGTTCTTGTTGCTCCGCCACTTCTTCTTGCTCCTCGTTCCTGTAGCATCCAGACTGACAAGCTGAGGAATTGCAGGCCATGATTCTATCGTCGGACGATTTCTGGGGTTATCAGTCAGAATTAAACAACCGTAGGGTTTTGCAGGATGCTGGAGCCTGGGAGTGCAACCGAACGAAGAAGTCACAAAAAATAGCGTAAATATACATTTAACACGTAATCTTACAATAAGATTTCAATTGGGTCCCAAAAGTTTTTTTGGTAGAATAGGTCTAAAAAAGTTTTAAGTGACTTTAATAGCATCCTTAAAATTTTTACCATATTTGGCATGGTAAATATTTAAATGTTGATCTTTTAAAATTAAATAGGGATTTAATTATATATAAGTTTTGCATATTATATTTATATAAAATTTTAATTAATTATTTTTTATTTAAAAAATTATGATAAATTTCAATCAAGTAAAAATATAAATGATTGAGATTTTTTTGTAATTATAATATATAAAACTTATATATAAATATATCATTCCTCTTTAAAATTAGTGGATAGAAACTTGGTCTTTTATGTCTTCAGTCATCATTGTATTTGTAACCTTACAATTATTTTTTGATATAAATAACAATTAAATTCATTTAAATGATAGATGAAGACCAAATGTAGTACTTTTATTTTTTGTATACTTTAAAATACGTAAAAAAAACCATAAAAATTAGTTTAGAAATGCTATGATTATTTAAATGAAAAAAGAGTAAGAATTTAAAACAATTAAATTTCAATTTAGTTACACAAGCCAAATTGAAGTTTTAAATTTTAAATTTTGTAATAAATTAAAGTTCAGGCTAACAATGCGTTAGCTTTTAGTCTACACTAAAAAAAGAAAAGCCAAAATCGATTGAAATTAATAGAAATGCCCTTTCACCTATCAATAAAACCAAAATAAGTGATATTAAGGGTATTTTTATTGTTTTATTCTTATTGCAAATCCTTTTTAGTAAATTAATATAATTTGACGTTCTTTTTATACTTTTTAAAAGTATAATTGAAAGTTCTTTTCAATATTTGAGTTTAATTAAGTTCAATTATTCTAAAAAAATAATCTTAATTGAATCAAGCATAGACAACATTATTTGAGCCAACCACCAGCCTATGTTAAGTGTGGAATTCGGCTTGTCCATAGAACCTTATTTGTTTGACTCAATTGAGTTTATATAAACCTAATGGTTTATTATAAAAATGATTATAATTACGTAATAAATTATTTAAATCATAAAATTTTTTAAATTTTATCAATTAAAATATTAATTTTATTTAATTTAATAATTAGAAATAACTAATAACTCTGGTTTGTATGACCCATCAATTTATTTTGTGTGCTTAACCACTTACATTTATTACACTCCGTGGTAGATCTTCAATCGTTTGGTACTTAAATGATTTAAACTAAAAGTCTAGGACTCAATCAAAAATTGTATCATAAGATTACGAATCGAATATGATATTTACTCCGCAGGAATCAAACGGCCCAAAAAAATAAAGGCCAAAATAATAAAAGCCCAACGAAGCTAGCCACTACCAAGAACGGAGCTCTCGAGTCTCAGCCGCCGCTTCCCGTTAACTTTCTTCTCTTCCCTGGAGCCGGAGACATTGAGAGTTCTGCTACCGGAAGGTTCAGGCCGATTGCTTGGATGCAGAATCGCCTTTGAGGTTTGATATAATGATTGTTTATATGTTCTTCTCTGATCTTTCAGTTGCATGTATGGTGATGAACCCTGCAATTCATACGTGCATTTTCAGGTGAAACGGAAATAGTGAGAGATGGGGTTGCCGAATGCTTCTGGGGACTTGTCGACGGAGGTGGAAGTGGATGCTTTCCGCCGCCTCTTCCCGCTTCGGTTCTTCGAGCGTCATCTTGCTGAATCCATACGCCCTGATGCCAGGCCGCTGGGGAAGGCGAGGGATACCACCATAGCTCTTGGTCAGTTAAAAATCTGATTTTTATTTATTGGGAAGTTCGGTTTTTCTCTAATTTCAATTTTGATTTTACTTGATTCTTGTTTCTGTTTATGAATGATTCCTTTTAATATCTAGGGGCTGTTGCATCTGCTAATGGGTCAGCACTAGCCAAGATTGGTTCCACTGTGAGTGCTATTCCTTATTTCCTACTATGTTTGGTAGATGGGCGTAAACAAAACATTAAACTGAATGTTTGTCATTCCTGGTGCAGACCATGTTGGCTGCTGTCAAGATGGAAGTCATGACCCCTTCCATGGAGTCGCCAGATGAGGGTTGCATAGGTTACACACCTTTCCTTTCTTGTCTACCCCTTTCCCTCTGTTTATTATAGGCATATAATGCATATGGTGATTTTTTCACTTTTCTAATTTTCAGCTATTGAATTTCATATGCCTCCTATTTGCTCTCCACTTGTTAGGCCTGGCAGGCCAGCTGAGGCGGCACCAGTTATATCGAAGCAGTTATCTGACACTATTTTAAGGCAAGCCAATTACCTCTCAGCTTCACTCTGCTGTAGTCTCTGATTGTGTTTGTTCTTTTAATTATCAGAATAATTCATCCTGGTGCATTATAGAATTATTTTTTATTTTCACTTTAAGATTTATGTTTGCCCAGGACATTTTCAAGTATTTGTTAGTTTTTTGCACATGGATCAAGAGGTGGTTATGTAGTTGATTACATCTTTCAGCCAATTGTTAATCTTTTTTCTTTGTAGGGTTTAAATATGTTACCTCATCCTCTTAGGTTTAATGATTTATTAAGTCATTGGCAATTATGGTTTCCTCAACTTATCAACTTAACTTTATGGTTTTGCCCGAAGGCATTTCATAGTGATATTGACAAATACCATAGTCAACTAGTCATCTTAACTCCTACCAAGTTCTGGATGGATGGGTATTGTTCCTGTTTGCCATGGACATGATAATATTGAACCATGATTCTGTGCAAGAAAGGAAAAGTGTATTTGTGACTGTATGGAGTACTAGTTCTTAAGTGGAGGGACCAAAGCCCTTCACAGCTTCATGCATGGAAAGACAGGAAGGAGAAGAGCAGAGCTCTTGCTTTACCTAGGCTTGAGCGCCAATTGTGGCCTTTCTTTTTCTCTCTCTTAAGAGTTGAGACGCCTCTCAGAGCCATATCTGTCCTTACATCTGTGTTTTAATGGTAATGCCAAGATAAACCCCATCTCCTAGGACTTAAGAATTGAGCTTGACTTGAAAGATTTTATTTTGATTAGGCTGATATGACTGTGACAGACGGCTTTTGATACAACATTTGGCTTGCTGGTAATTAAACTTTGGAGTATGGGTGTCCTGGTTTTTTATTATGATATTGGTTTTTTGTGTTTCTCCTGATTAGTTTCATTTTTAGTATTTGTTCTTCTCCTGTAGTTTGTTTCGAACAGTAGATTTGCTTACATAGAGTCCTAGTAGATTAGTGATAACCATCTGCCTTTTTCTTTCCTAGTTTCTGTTTATATTTCTTTGCTAGTAGTCTGTTATTTCTTTATGTTTATTTTAACCTAGTAGCCTGCTTTATTGCAGTTCTGGCTTGATTAATCTTAAGGAACTGTCCTTGGTCAGTGGAAGGGCTGCTTGGATGGCATATTTGGTTGGTGCTAATGCCCTGTTCTGTCTTCAATTTTCATTTTTTTGGATTACAATGTAAGATATTATTTTCATTATGTAGGACATATACTGTTTGGATGCTGATGGTGCTTTATTTGATGCCGCACTACTTTCAGCAGTTGCTGCTTTTTCTCATGGTAAGAGTTGTATCCCTTTCCCATCATTTCTATAAAAATAGAAAATGCATGTTGGAAAATTTGATTAAATATATAGTTGAATGAGTCATCACTCTATGGTCTTTAAATTTAAAATTTTTTTGCTGCTAAATTTGGGGGATTAATTTTGTAGTTATTTCAGAATTTGGGGAAGAATAATATGCCATCTGCTGGCATCGTATCCTCTTCACGACATGCTTGAACAAGCCAATTGCATCTAATTTCTGCTCTAATGCATGGACATATCTCATAGCATTCCCTCTATCTGTTCCTCATTTTTCTTTGAAGCCATACAAGTAGCTTGTACACTTATACTACATTATCTATATTCCACTTGCCTAGCTTATTATGACACTTCCCTTTCTTGCAGTGGAAATCCCAGTTGTTTCCTTGAATGATGATGGGAAAATTGTTCTTGTGTCTGAGGAACATGGAAGAGGAATGTCAGAAGGGGAGCCTGTCAATAAGGAAAAGAGGAAACTCATGTTAAACAGTATTCCATTCTCATTAACTTGCATACTTCACAAGAATTACATTCTGGCAGACCCTACTGCAGAAGAAGAATCCATTATGGAAACCCTTATAACTGTAGTTTTAGATTCATCAGGTCAACTTGTATCTCTTTATAAGCCAGGTGGAACTGTTCTTGCTTATACATCAGCTATTCAGGTTAGTGCAATTGTATATCTTGGTCTCTAAAATATCTTAATGAATACAAGAGGGTCTCTCACAAGTACTGCTGCTTTAGCAACCAAACATATTTTGGGTATAGTTCTGTTAGTCTAGTCTATTGAAAGATAATTAGAAGCACTCAGACATTTGTTTCGTACATACTATGTGTCTAGTCCTCAAAGGTCAAATTGATGTCCAGAAGACAGTCCCAAATGTTTTTGTGGTTTGAACAGTCCCAAAATTTGTTTGGTATTCCTGACCCTGTTATATTTCAGGACATGTGTTAAGACACCAGCATTTTGGTACACCAAAGAATCCATTATTTAAACATTAACAGGGAAATTGTTACTGTGGTTGCAGGATTGTGTTGCATTGACACGACAAAGGGTGAAAGAACTACAGAAGATTCTAGATGAAGCCATTTCTGGTATGGAGGTTGACTAGTTTACACTATTTTTTTGAAGGTTTCCCGATCATCTTGTGCAGTTCATGGTATTTATTCTCGTTTGAACTATATTTGTTTATTCTATCTTGTTCATGCTGTGACATAAGTTATCAAAGAGACATATTGGAAGAGTTAAGTATCATGAATCAATTTTGGTAAACACAGTCCACTTTGTTCTTTGCTTTCTGAGATCATTCAATTTACATTCAATTTGTTCTTGTCAAGGCTGAATAAAATCTCTTTGAACTGGATGCCTACATAACTCGGTGTTTAGCATCCACTTCCAAAGACTTGTGTTCCTCGAAAGTGTAGATTTCTAAAGTGTCACATAATCACATTGTATTGTTTTAGACCATCCCTCATTAATAAGAGCTACAACAATGCCTTCACTTTTACATTATAAGCGTGACAAGAAGGATACCATAGAAGTCCATGAGCTCTATCAGGTTGCCAAAGCTACCAAAGCAAAAGGTTAGTCCAGCATCCTTAAAGGCCATCTACCATTTGTTGTTTTTCATGGCTATCAGTTTACTTCAAAACTCAAATAATATGAAATCTGAGTTTTTCAAGTGATAAATCTCATTGAAACCATTATTTCTTTTCTTATTTTTTTTTCTAGAATATATTTAGTCAAGTTGTTGCAATCCTCCTTAACCCTAAACTTGATATTTGTCAGTAAGGTAGAAATTAAGTCATCTTAGGATAAACTCGAATGGAAAAGAGAAATGAGACAAAAAACCCTTTTAACCGAGTGAGTGACAAATAGTATCGTTTTTACTCATCTTATAATGTAAATTCAAAAAGCAAATTTATAAAATTTGTAACTTAATTGGGAAATTGCATGGTTTTTGTTCTCAATAGATAGACCCGAATCTCGGTCTCCCACTGCTAATATCATAAAAATCAATTAGTTTTCAATGTATCTTTATCAATTAAACATGTTTCCATCATGTTGAAATCAGGAATTTTTTTAACACAGTTATGCTTTATTAAGTTCACCCCCATTACTTCCATAAAAAATAAATATATAAATAAATCCACCCTCATTACTCAAAATTAAAGAAAAAGGAAAGTCTAGAGGTAGGAACATGTCAACTTGGTAATTGGCAAAGACTTCAAAATAAGATACCTTCTTTTCTTTTCTTTTTTTTTTTTTATAAAGATAATAATTAGTAAGTTAATATTAACAATTGAAGATTCATTTTTAGATCAAATGTACAATCTTATGTCAATAAAACGCACGATTATCGGACCGCATGATAAAATTATCAAAATAAGATACCCGGTCACATTGGTGTCTCAGAAAAAATATCACTTTCTTTGCACTCTGAGACACAAGCTCACCCAACAATATCCTTTACAGAGCCCTCTTTTTGTACCGTCCCCAAAAAATCTTGTCAATATCTACTCTCCTCCTATCATCCACCCTTCCTCTTTCACGTCCCCTCATTACCCTTTTGGGGAAATCCAATTCAACCAATCAGAACTCAGGAAACTCCATCACAAGATAGATAAGTATATGCCCATTTCCTCTCTCCCTCTCTTCTCCTAAATCCTCAACCTCACAAATAACAAAAAAAACCCCTGCAAATCCCAATTCCTCTTGATACCGATTTTGCCACGTGTCCCTCTCCTCCACCACTAACCATAAAAACAAACTGTTTCAAATCCCCCCACTACAAATATAAAACACCAAACTTTTGCATTCTCCCAAGGAAGAAAACAAAGAGGGAAGAGGAAGAAGAAGAAGAATCAAGTCAACAAATTTCGCTGCATATTTGTAAATTTTTTTCCTCTAAAGCCTCTTCTTTCTCTTCCTTTTTTTTTTATAATTATTTTGGTTTCTCTTTGTAATTGAGAAACAGAGTACTCTGCCTTGGTTTGATACTGAGTGTTAGCGTCAATGGCTTCTTTAATTTCTTCACCCTTTACCTTGTCATCACCAAAACCAGACCAACTTTCTTCTCTTTCCCAGAAGCATTACTTTCTCCACTCTTTCCTCCCCAAGAGAACCAACCAACCCAACTCCAAATCTTCCATGAAAGTAAAATGTGCAGTTGTGGGAAATGGGCTCTTCACTCAGACAACACCAGAAGTTCGAAGAATTGTCCCAGAGAAGAAAGACAACCTTCCCTCTGTCAAAATTGTGTATGTGGTCCTCGAAGCTCAGTATCAGTCGTCCCTTTCGAGTGCGGTTCAGTCCTTGAACAAAAGTGCCAACTTTGCTACGTTTGAGGTGGTGGGGTACTTGGTGGAGGAGCTTCGAGATGAAAATACGTATAAAACTTTCTGCAAGGATCTTGAGGATGCAAATATCTTTATTGGGTCTTTAATTTTTGTGGAGGAGCTTGCCTTGAAAGTAAAGGCTGCAGTGGAGAAAGAGAGGGATAGGATGGATGCTGTGTTGGTTTTCCCTTCAATGCCTGAAGTAATGAGGCTTAACAAGTTGGGGTCTTTCAGTATGTCGCAGCTGGGTCAATCGAAAAGTCCATTTTTTCAGCTGTTCAAGAGGAAGAAGCAGGGTGCAGGGTTTGCTGATAGCATGTTGAAGCTGGTGAGAACACTGCCTAAGGTTTTGAAGTACTTGCCTAGTGATAAGGCACAGGATGCTAGGCTTTACATCTTGAGTTTGCAGTTCTGGCTCGGTGGTTCCCCTGATAATCTGCAGAATTTCTTGAAGATGATTTCTGGCTCTTATGTACCGGCATTGAAAGGGAAAAAGATTGAATATTCGGATCCGGTCTTGTTCTTGGATAGTGGGATTTGGCACCCTTTGGCTCCTTGTATGTATGATGATGTAAAGGAGTATTTGAACTGGTATGGTACTAGGAGGGATGCTAATGAGAAACTCAAGGGGCCTAATGCACCTGTAATTGGGTTAGTTTTGCAAAGGAGTCACATTGTTACGGGAGATGAGGGCCATTATGTGGCTGTGATTATGGAGTTAGAAGCTAGAGGGGCGAAAGTGATACCAATTTTTGCCGGAGGGCTTGATTTTTCTGGTCCAGTGGAGAAGTTCTTGATTAATCCGATTACAAAGAAGCCATTTGTGAACTCAGTGGTTTCCTTGACAGGTTTTGCTCTGGTTGGGGGTCCTGCTAGGCAGGACCATCCAAGGGCTGTTGAGGCACTGAGGAAACTGGATGTCCCTTACATTGTTGCGTTGCCTTTGGTGTTTCAAACAACTGAGGAGTGGTTGAATAGTACTCTTGGCTTGCACCCAATTCAGGTTGCTTTGCAAGTTGCCCTTCCAGAATTGGATGGAGGCATGGAGCCTATTGTTTTTGCTGGTCGTGACCCAAGAACAGGCAAGTGAAGCTAACCTCTATAAACATGATTTCCTTGTTTTCTTTTATATTTACATTAATTATTCAATCTTCTATTCCAATTAACTGTATAAATTTGTTATATGAAGACTAGCTCTACTTAGTAGGAGGTAATCAGAGGAATTTTTTTGCTTTGACATTATACTAAATGCTTGAATTTAGCTACAAACATGATGTATTTGTTGTAACATCAGGAATGCTGTATCATATGAGTTGATATGTTGATGGTTGTCTGTTCTTTTTAGTACATGTATCTCAGGGGAGTATCTGTCTTTAAGAGTTGATGAAAAATTTTGATTTTGATTGCAGGGAAGTCACATGCTCTTCACAAGAGGGTGGAGCAGCTCTGCACCAGGGCAATCAGGTGGGCTGAACTAAAGAGGAAATCAAAGGTATTATTCTAACTCAACTAGTCTATAAACTTCACTTCTGGTATATGTTACTAATGTTAGATGCTTCATATTCTTTTCCTAGATAACTTTAAGTATGAAAAGTGAACAGTCGAAGTAACTATCTATATGTTGTTTGGTAACCTTGACAATTTACGGTTCAATTCTTCATCATATATCAACAATTTAAATTAGATTATGCATTGATGTTGATAGGGAAAATTATTCATTCTTTCCATAGTGGCTCACAGCCTAATAACTCCTCAAGAATGTCTATTGGTTTATGAAGATGACTTCATCTTATGTTAACTCAATGGAATAAAATCTCACCTATATTACCTTTCTAGCTGTAGAAAGGATGAATCTCTGCAAAGTGTTTTCCTGAGTTTCTACTGATAAGCATGATAATATGCAGGCAGAGAAGAAGTTAGCAATCACAGTCTTCAGTTTCCCTCCAGACAAAGGGAATGTTGGAACAGCTGCCTACCTTAACGTTTTTGCGTCTATCTACTCAGTTCTGAAAGATCTCCGGAGAGGTGGTTACAATGTTGAAGGCCTTCCGGAGACTGCTGAAGCCTTAATTGAAGATGTTCTTCATGACAAAGAGGCGCAATTCAGCAGCCCAAATCTGAATATTGCTTACAAAATGGGTGTACGCGAATACCAAAGACTCACACCTTATGCTACTTTATTGGAAGAAAACTGGGGAAAACCTCCTGGGAATTTGAATTCTGATGGAGAGAATCTTTTGGTTTATGGAAAGCAGTATGGTAATATCTTCATTGGAGTCCAGCCTACTTTTGGTTATGAAGGTGATCCTATGCGGCTACTGTTCTCCAAATCAGCTAGCCCTCATCATGGATTTGCAGCTTATTACTCCTTTGTTGAGAAAATTTTCAAAGCTGATGCTGTGCTTCATTTTGGCACTCATGGATCACTTGAATTCATGCCTGGAAAACAGGTGGGAATGAGTGATGTTTGTTACCCTGATAGTCTCATTGGGAATATTCCCAATGTTTACTACTATGCTGCCAACAACCCATCTGAAGCAACAATCGCAAAGCGCAGGAGCTATGCTAATACCATTAGCTATCTGACCCCTCCAGCTGAAAATGCTGGGCTTTACAAGGGACTCAAGCAACTAAGTGAACTTATCTCCTCATACCAGTCCCTTAAAGACACAGGTCGTGGGCCACAAATTGTGAATTCAATTATCAGCACAGCTAAACAATGCAATCTTGACAAAGATGTAAAACTTCCTGAAGAGGGTGAGGAAATTTCAGCAAAAGAAAGGGATCTTGTGGTTGGAAAAGTATACTCCAAAATCATGGAAATTGAGTCTCGGCTCTTGCCATGTGGGCTCCATGTCATTGGTGAGCCTCCATCAGCCATGGAAGCAGTTGCAACATTGGTCAACATTGCTGCACTGGACCGTCCTGAAGATGGAATTTCATCACTCCCTTCCATATTAGCTCAGACTGTTGGAAGAGACATTGAGGATGTTTACAGGGGGAGTGACAAAGGAATACTAAGAGATGTTGAGCTTCTCCGACAAATTACTGAAGCTTCACGTGGAGCAATTTCAGCCTTTGTTGAGAGGACTACTAATAAGAAGGGTCAAGTCGTTGATGTAGCTGATAAGTTGAGTTCTATCCTTGGTTTTGGTATCAATGAACCCTGGATTCAGTATCTGTCAAACACAAAGTTTTACCGGGCAGATAGAGAAAAACTTCGAATTTTGTTTGAGTTCCTAGGAGAGTGTTTGAAGCTGGTTGTTGCTGATAATGAGCTGGGAAGTTTGAAGCAAGCTTTGGAGGGGAAGTATGTCGAGCCTGGGCCAGGTGGTGATCCAATTAGAAATCCAAAAGTATTGCCAACAGGAAAGAACATTCATGCCTTGGATCCACAAGCTATTCCAACAACGGCGGCTATGCAAAGTGCAAAAATTGTGGTGGATAGGTTAGTTGAAAGACAGAAGGCTGACAATGGGGGAAAGTATCCAGAGACAATTGCTCTTGTCCTGTGGGGAACAGATAACATTAAAACTTATGGTGAGTCACTGGCTCAGGTCTTGTGGATGATAGGAGTAAGGCCTGTGGCAGACACATTTGGTCGAGTCAACAGGGTTGAACCAGTTAGTCTTGAAGAGCTAGGCAGGCCCAGGATTGATGTTGTTGTTAATTGCTCTGGGGTTTTCAGAGATCTATTCATTAATCAGGTATTGACCCTTTATATACCTCTGAGTTTTGGATCTATCAGTATACAATATTTTGCACATGAAGCACCAAATCACATTGCTCTAATTGAACAAAACTGTGTAAGGATTTCAAGTCAAATATAAGGTTTAGGGGGATAAGTATTTTTTGCAGGCTTACAATTTGAATCGTAAGTGTTTAATACTTTTCCCTCCTTGCCTGTTACACTGCTTTTTTTTTTTGTCTTGTTGTCATCTGTTTGCTTGCTTTCCTTATAAACTTGTTTATTATTTTACAGATGAATCTTCTGGACCGGGCAGTAAAATTGGTAGCTGAGCTGGATGAACCAGTAGAGCAAAACTTTGTCAGGAAGCATGCATTAGAGCAAGCCAAGACCTTAGGCATTGGGGTTCGAGAAGCTGCCACTCGGGTTTTCTCCAATGCCTCAGGGTCCTACTCCTCCAATATTAACCTTGCTGTCGAAAACTCCTCCTGGAATGATGAGAAGCAGCTGCAAGACATGTACTTGAGCAGGAAGTCTTTTGCATTTGATTGTGATGCCCCTGGTGCAGGCATGACAGAGAAAAGAAAAGTTTTTGAAATGGCTCTGAGCACAGCAGATGCAACATTCCAAAACCTAGATTCATCAGAAATCTCACTGACTGATGTGAGTCATTACTTTGACTCAGACCCCACAAATCTAGTTCAGAACCTCAGGAAGGATGGAAAAAAGCCCAGTGCATACATTGCAGACACTACCACAGCTAATGCTCAGGTGAGCACTTGCGACACTGAAAGAGCTTAGAATTGTTTCCAGGCTTCACAATCTTCTAATATGACACTTGCTGCTTAAGTTACCATGAATAAAAGTCCGAACATTTCCATTTCCCTGTAATCTGCAGGTTCGTACACTTTCTGAAACCATGAGACTAGATGCACGAACCAAGCTTTTGAACCCAAAGTGGTATGAAGGAATGATGTCAAGTGGTTATGAGGGAGTCCGTGAAATTGAGAAGCGCCTTACTAACACTGTAGGGTGGAGTGCAACTTCTGGACAAGTTGATAACTGGGTTTATGAGGAAGCAAACACAACTTTCATCCAGGATGAGAACATGCTCAACAGACTCATGAACACCAATCCAAACTCATTCAGGAAGTTGGTGCAGACATTCTTAGAGGCAAATGGACGTGGTTACTGGCAGACTTCAGAAGAGAATATTGAAAGACTGAGGCAGTTGTACTCGGAAGTTGAAGACAAGATTGAAGGGATTGATAGGTGAAATCTTAAACTGATCCTGGACAGCAAATATTATTAGCAAAAAATTGATGGTTTGCTTGAGCCTTTCCTCTTCCATCTTCTTGGATAAAAAGTTGTCATTCTCAGGGTACTTGAAAGTGTGAATGTGTTCATATGTACGAAAGAACACTCTGGTTTTCTCCATTTTGGGAGTAACCCTTTTTTTTTCTGTTTAAAGCAGAGCAGTTCATGATACAAGTTACGTAATATTGCATGATTGCACATACCATATAACTGGGAAGACAATTGCATTGGGGAGATTCATGATAATTTGTTAGTGTGGTCAAAACAAACGCTGTAGTTTAGTCCATTTTCTGACTCCATAGAAACACTTGCTAAAACCATGAGGGTAAAGATAAGTCATTTTGCGGAAGTGTCACTACTCAGTGAAGACCAAAGATGTTAAAGAGGGGTTAAGGCACATAAACCTTTCAACCATAAAGGAAAACATCAAGAAAAACACAGATTGGCATATGAGAACATTTTTCTTCTCATATATTAATGAACCAGATGAACAAGATTGACACAATTTTCTGTGAAGGGGACCCCCAATCAGGAAATGAATCATACAACGGTAAATCTACAGAGAAGTTACAAAAAGAACACCCCTCCCTTGAAAAAATTAAGGTAAAAAGAAGAGCAGAATTTGGTATGACAGTTACAAAGTGGTACATGGTTTCTGTTTCCTCTCCTACAGCAGTTCCTTTATGTATCAAAGAAGTCTATTTTACCTTCAAACCAACTGCATTAGGAGAGGATCACCTTCGGCCATTATTCTGATTAGCTTTATGAATTCCTGTTCGCTTGACACACTCCATGGATGCACTGCAGGTGCTTGTGCAGAATAATGTGTTGAAGAATTAGTAGGCAGTTTCAGCTCATAGACCATTGTATTGAGCACTGAGTCAAAATTCTGAGGCAAATCCATTGATGTGAAGAACATGGGTATGGCAACCTTGTGGTGGATTTCTAGATCGCCAACCAGATTGACAAGATCAACAAAATCAGAGACAAGGTGTTGAGGAATATAGAATATCTCAGAACTGCAGATTGTGAGGCTTCGGTCATTCTTCATGACTTCTTTATAGTTCACTTGAAAGTGGACTGGCATTGTGCTCACAACTTTCTTTACCATTTCAGCTTGTTTTGAAAACCACTCTGAGTTTCCATCAGTTGATACTGTAGTCCAAGACTTGGATACCTAAATCAAGAAAAGAAGAGGGAAGGAAAGATATATCAGCTTTTATCAGTATTACTCCTAACAAATAAATTTTAAAGAGCCCCTTTAAAATACATAAAAAATAATAATAAATCAATCAAAAAACTAAAAAAGAATACGTGAATAAAGTTTCTAAACATATATAAGAGCCATGCATGGGCCCCATATATGGCAAAATAATAGCAATAACAAAAAAAATGGCTCTCAACACTCTAAAAGTAAATGTCCAAGACTATATCTGCAAAACTGAATTGCTATAAATGCAGATGGTACCTTATCAGTAATCCAAAGCTTTGTCTTGTCTGCTTGTATGAGATTCCAGTAATTAAGAATGGTATCATCTTCAAGGAATAAAAAGCCTTCTGCACTACTATATCGATCAAATATTTTGGGCAGATGCCTAGAAATGATGTTCAATAGTAATCAGTGAACATGAAAGATGGCCTGCCTTGGTAATTTCAGTTTATCATGAATATGATATGACGTCAACATAATATAGAGTTATAGACAGGACAGTCATAAATCTTGATCATGCAACAACCATAGTTTCCATTGTTATCAACTAAATTGATTAACCAACAACCATAGGTTGCTTCAAAACAAGACTAACTTTAAAAGCAAGCAACAAGCCAACAACTATAATTGACAGAATCTGTAATCAAATTTATAATAGAAAAGAAAAATAAATATTTGAAAGGGAAGTCATGGATATCTCTAACTATCACAGCTAGATGAGGACAGTGCTCTCAGAAACTTGATGAATCCATATTTACAGCACAAGCAGATGATAATATTTTAGTTTAGGCTAGTGGTGTGATTCATACTTACTTTTCCAAAACTCATTAAGAGGAAAAAAAGAAAGAAAAAGTTCTCAAAGAATCTCAATCCATAAAAACACATACAAGAATGCTAGGAACTAAGCAAATACTAAGAAACTTGACAGCCAGCAACTATCCATATCATAAATCTTATGGTTGGATAACACTAATGGACATGAAGATAAGCTTTCCAAGCTGACAAGTACAAAAGACATGAAAGAACTGACACTGCATGCAATGGTTTAGATTTTGTCAGCCAGACAGAAATGCAGATATTTCATGTTGCCTGCCAAACTTAAGTTCTCTGTTTTCAAGCTAATATCCTACAGAAGTCAGAACTAGCAAACAGGATGTTTATGGAACAGTAAAAAGGAATAGATTAATCCCTTTTGAGTTGTGACTCTATGCTGCACCTTACCAGAATCTAAATCAAAATTTTAGCTGGTTGCAAGTCTTGTCTTGATTTATCACGAATCAGAGGGTGGCAGGTTTTGGTTATTTGAGGTGGAGCAGAGAAATGAAATGAAAAATGTCTAATCTTAAATTTCCATAAATTGGACCAAAATATGAGCAAATGTCAACATGCAATTCAGAGCGTGTTTCTGGAAATAATGAAGTCCTCACTAAGGGAATAAAAAAAGATGTGACCTTTATACACAAGCACACAAAAGCATATAACAGTAAGAAAGTCAGGACGGAAAATGGGAAATATCTAGAAATCCAAATGCAATGTAAGAGATTGAAGCACTATACCAAGTGAAAAGGAATTATAAAAAACAAAAAAATCATGCAGCTAAATTTTAAGCTCTATCCCTTCAAAAGTGCAGCTTCTTACAAATATATGTCGTCAAAGATAATGGTTCCCAGATCCAATTCCCATACTTATACTCCCCATAGTTTTTCCCCTTGTGATGATAAGTTTACTCTCAACATTTAATCTAGAGCCTTTGTTGCATTTGCTGCATACTGAATAACCATCCTTAAAATAAAATAAAATAAAATAAAAAAACAGATACCTAGCTCTGCTAACTCTCCTCTTGAAACATGACCAATGGTACAAGGGACATCCTACTCTAGAAATCTCCTAGTCTATCCAAACTTGCAAAGAAATTAACAGAGTAGCTGCTGATAACAGCAACTAGAGATTTGTCTTTAATATTTTAAGCCACCAACAATACTCCAAGTCACTGGAAGTCTGGAACTCTATAATAGACATTTTTCAGCATCATCTCCTATCCACTGCATATGAAGGCTCACTCAAAATATAAATCACGCCCTAAAGGCCAAGTACAAATTGAACATCTAGTTTCTAAAGAAGATGCGGCAGAGAAAGAGTAATATGGTAATGAAACAATAGCATCAGGTGAAAAATAATAACAGATAGTTGTGGCAACTTACTTGTAAACATGATCCAATTGACCTTGTTCAACAGCCAGATCTAAATTCTTCTCCCCAGATAAAATAATAACTGTTTTGAATATTCGCCCATAAAGCAATCTCCACTCCAAGGCCGTGCGCTCCACCGGACCATTGCAAAACATGACAAGCACGACATTTCCAAAATTTTTCCTCCACCGAATCAAATTCCCTATCTCATAATCAACTGTTCCCATTTCTTCCACTCCAAGATGAACAGATGGCAATTTCCGAGGGACAAATTCCCTTTGATCCCCATGACCAATATTTGCCCGTGGCCGGTCCAATTCCAGAGACATCAACCTTGGTTGCTGATAACCAACAGCAAGCAAGTCCTGAAGCCAAGCAGCAGTGAACTTGAGATCCTTCTCAGTCCAAAACCCCTCTTCAGCCATAGCATAACTTAATTTCAATATCTTTTCAAACAACCTATGCTTGTTTGACCTCCATGCTACCAAGAATTTGATCAAACGGCCTACATTCACATGAAGATCCTTCTCCTCTGAAAATGGATATGCTTCAATTCTATCATGCCGATGAACTGTGGGTGGATAAACAACAACATAACCACCAATCTCCCACAAAAGCCTCTGTCCCCAATAACCCCTCAAAACATCAGAAGCCATGGTGCTAACAGATACAGGAAGCATCAATGCCCAAAATGCTGATGAATGATACATGGTATTAAATGAGTTCACTGGCACCATCATACCTTGCGGCAATGCCACTTTTGGTGCACGCTCATCAAACCTAATATCAAATGCTTCCAAACCTGACTTCCTTGTAAAATAAAACACAGAATCTACATCAGGTAACCCATTGGAAATCCCTTGTTGTATATACTGCTTGCCACCAAAGACCTCAGTGTAAAACTCCTCATGCTCAATTTCACCTACATTCTCTAGTGGCAATCCCCTTGGCCAAACCGACCGTTGCCCGAAATGAATATATGGGTTCACTACAGTCCTATTAGGGTTATCATGACTATATTGCAATAGAGGCTCTTGCCTGGCTCCCTCCCCCATCAATTCTACATCAAAATGCTTCCCTAAATCATCATCAATCACCTCCCCACGATCATCACAATCAAAGATCTTCTTGGCCCCATGTTGGATTGCAAACAGATAACCCACAGTCTTTCTAACATAAGAATCATAAGGCAAGAAATCCACAACCCGGAACCCCAAATTAGCTTGCGTATCCAAAGACAGAAAAATGGCACCTTTCAAGCTCCAATCCTTGGGCGTCCTCGAATTTCCAACCGCCAAAACTTGCCACCCCCTGATCTTCACCATCCTTTTCAACGAATCCGAGGGATAATCCGACACCGACACCACAATCCATCGCTCGGATCGAAAATTCGCGTAAGGAGACGACTTATCAGAGATGGGTGCGATCGAATTCCAGTTGATTCGAGGGAGAGAGATGGAATCAAGAGATTGCTGCGTCTGGGACTGGAGCCTTAGAAAAGACGCCGTGTCAGTCGAGTTGTAGAGGAAGAAGACGGTCGCCACGGTGAAGATAAGGATACATATCGTAACGATTTTGTAGAAATTATCAGAAACCCATGTCGAAAAGTCGAGGCTTTTAGGCTCAGAGAATCGGTTTCGGTGCAGTGTGGGGAGAGTTCCGATCTGGGATTTCGGGGGTTTCGGCACCGCACGATCCTGGACCAACATTTGATCTTGTGCGGATACTTCGAATTCAGTTTATTTCCACACCTAAATTCTTGGCGTTTCTGATCTTCACTTGAGCTTCTAATTCTCAGCTTGACTTCTCCGGCGGCAGTACAGATCGTCGTCGTCGTCTTCAAGTTCTGAAAAGCTTATTACAAAAATATAAAGCAAACAAGGAGACAGACACACTTTCATGTGGTTGCCGACAATCACAGCGTGTGAGGGGTTTCTTACGCTTCAATGAAATGAAACGCAACAGCAAAAAGTGTTTGGTAGGAGTGGGGGTCAGTGTATCACTGTCATCTTCTTACAATTTCATTTTGTAGTAATTTACAAACATAAGTCATCTTCATATAACCATTAATAATGGACGGAAGGTGTAATAAAATGTGCTGTTCCAGCATGACAGACCACAAGACTGCAAATTTATTTATAAAATTTATTTGAGTTAAGCCCCTGAATTTGGTTCTTCTCTCAACTTCGCTCTTAAACTTTTTTTTTTTTCCTGATCTTAGATTGTGCAATGATAGCATGTTTGGAGTCTAGGATTAGATGGGATTGGATATAATTTTAAGGATTGGATATAATTTTAAGGATTGGATAGGATTAGACTACATAGGACGAGGTATATTTTAATCTCATGGCATGTTTGGTTGATTATTAGAATACAAAGTTTTGGATAAAAATGTTAATTTACATGGATAAAAATGCCCTTATATAGTAAATATAGTAAATCTTATTTTAATTACTTTAATGATAATTAATTTAGCATTAATATGATGTTAATTGAAATTGTTTATATTAATTTTTTATTAATAAGATGAAATGGCAAAAAAATTTTAATTAATTATCATTAATATTTCCTTTGTTTTCTTAGAAACCAAATAGTAAAAAAAAAAACCAAACTAATTCTCACAAATAGTAATTTTCAAGCAAATCCAAATCACCAAACATGGCAACATAGCAATGTTGCCCTCATCACCATCAAAACAGGGAAGAGAAGAAGAAACAAAGAAAGCTGCAACACAACAACATCAACATCTTTGATTCATCATTCATGCGTGTTTAATTTGACAATTTATGAGTCTTGCTACGAGAATTGCTTCTTCTTTTTTTTTATTCCAATTTTATTTTTGTAGTTCCAACGTTTGATTGTAAGAATGGAGAAATTGGGGATTTGTGATTTCCAAAATCCAGCACTCAAAATGTAGGAGAACCACATAGAAACCGCTAGCAACACCAACACCAAAATGCAGCAAAAAAAGATGCTAAATTCCCACAAATCTGGTTTGAATCTTAAGATCTAATAGAATCTGTTGACGAAGAATCAAGAGGAAAAGGAGGGGGGAAGAAGAAGTAGAAGGAAGGAGACAAGTTCTGATTGGAGACGGTTTGTGAGGGTTGGTATTGACTTGTCAAAAAAATTGGAGTCGAAAGAAAAATCATGAAAGAGAGAGGGAAAGAAAAAAATGAAAATTAAATATAATCCCACCCAATCCCATGGGGGAGGTGGGATACATTTTGCTTGATGAGTGTGGGATGGGGCAAAGCATAGGTATCAATTATCTTGTCTATTAAATGCACTAAATATGGGTTACATTGAGATAGGGACAAAAAAATTGTCTTATCCCATGATTTATTTGGCATGTCAAGCATGCCTTGAGAGACAAATATCTCTTATATTTTGACTGACATCATTTATATATCATGTAATTTGAACTTAAGATATCTTATTTTCATTATAAGAAAATTGTTATTAACTATATAAATTGTTAGCAACTTGACCCTCAAACTTAGTTTAGTTTAATTGAGTAGTTATACCATATGTGATATACCATGTTTGATGCCCTTTTCACTTAAAATTTGAAAAACTTTCTTTGTTGAAAAGCTAAGCATGCATATTGAAGAAACAAATAATTAACATTGATATATTATATAAAAATACTATCTAAAATTATACGTAAAATGTAAATGAAACAACTAACAATTGTTTTAAAAAAATGAAATACCATCACAAAAACTATAGTTGGGCTAAACAGACTTTATATCAAATTAACACTAACCAAGGAAGTCTCTTAATCTCATCAAATTGTGATATTTCTGTTAACACTTTGTTTAATCCACTTCCTTATGTGAAGATCATTATAACAAAACTAATTAAAAGAAAACCTAATTATTTTTTCCCATTATTATAACTATAGTGTTGAGCCTTTTTTTTTTACGACTATAACGTCATCATTTCTCTCATTCTATGTGGTTTTGACAAAGCATAACCTATATTGCACAAGTTTAATTAGTTCAGAAGTAAATTTGAGGGTGAAATTAGTATAAAAAATAAGTTAAAGGACTAACTTAAAGGTTATTCCTACTTTCTTTTAACATGATGCAAATTGGGTTTTTTTGGGTGGTTGCGATTGGTTTTTTT